CACGGTTGACGCCGCGAGCAGAAACAAAGTCCTGAAAACTTTGGTAATTTCAATAGATACTGCTGGTTCTTTGCTTATCATGTAGACCGGTCGTTGGAAAAGTTTCAGTTCATGCATGGAATTTTGGCTGTGAGGACACCCTGAAGGGTGGTGCCAAGAAGCCCGAGCTCGCGAAGTGCGCAGCTTGGGGGGAAGGGATCAAGGTGCCTACATGACAAACTCCCAAAGCTCCACGCCTTTGGATGGCAGGACCCAAGTACTACGCGCCACTGACTTGACACTCAAACCCCACATCCAAACAATCATGACACTAAGCCCAAACACAGTAAACCGTGCTTCGTGTAAGGAGGCAAAGTCTTGCATGCCTGGAGCCTTCAAGTAATCTTCACTTTGTTATAGTAGTAAGGATATTTGTTGGTCGTTGTAATTTTAATATTTGGTCGTCCTTGTTGCTAGTCTTGTTGCGTTCCATGTCGTTGTTTGTGGCATGTGCTCGGCTATTACTGTAGTGTTATTCAGTTCTGAGTCTTTCTCAGAAGACAAGCTTGCCATGTGGCGGGTGTTGGAATCTAGCCGTCAAACCCAAAAACTCCAGCTGAGTTTCCCCAAAGCCTAGTCCACTAAAGCCCTGCAGCCCATCAGCAGGGGCCCTTCCGTCAGGTAGTAGATTATACACTTAGGTAGAAAAACCCTAAACCCTAAGGCCCAAATCCTTAAGCAGCTAAATCCCTCATCTGCAAGTCCGAAATGCAGAGGGGCTCGCAGAGTGGGCTCGAGGGTTTAGGGCATATGTGTATATGTATGTATGTATATGTATATACCTAAATAGAAAAATGCATATATGTATCTCATATATGGGTATATATGTATATATGCATGCATGCATGCATGCATGCATGCATGCATGCATGCATGTATTGGTATACCCCAAAAACAGTACCTGAAGGTTGGTATGTAAAAACCCAGAGATGTACACGCTTGAGCCGTAGGTTTAGGTCTTTCGTGCGCCACCCTACGATCTTCTTATGGTTGTTATCAGTATCATTGCTGCTATTCTTACTGTGCCATGTCAGTTTTTGTGGATGTGCATCTGCTGAGCGGCAAGAGTGCTTCCTTGGAAGTGGAGGTTGATGCATCTGTTGAGTCACTGAAGCACCGAGCCCAGAGTGCCTTGGCGGTCCCGGGCAGTGGGCGGCTGCGGAACTCTTCTGGAGAAGTCCTTGATGGAGCAAAAACGATCACAGAAGCGAAGTTGCTGAGTGGAGACGTGCTCACCCTACACGTGCACCAAGTCCAGCTTAACACCACCCGACGGGGTCCGTTCTCTGCGTTCGCCGCACTCCTGGGTGATGGATCCGTTGTCACCTGGGGCAACGCCGGCTATGGAGGCGACAGCAGTGTGGTAAAGGATCAGCTGCGAGATGTGCAGCAGATCCAAGCTTCCGGTGGTGCATTTGCTGCAATCCTGGGTGATGGATCTGTGGTCACCTGGGGTGATGTCTACTATGGTGGCGACAGCAGTGCGGTACAGGATCAGCTGCGAGATGTGCAGCAGATCCAAGCTTCTGGTGGTGCATTTGCTGCAATCCTGGGTGACGGATCTGTTGTCACTTGGGGTGCTTCAGTTGGCGACGGCAGCGCTGTACAGGATCAGCTGCGAGATGTGCAGCAGATCCAAGCTTCCCTTCATGCATTTGCTGCAATCCTGGGTGATGGATCTGTTGTCAGCTGGGGCAATCTCGACCAGGGTGGCGATAGCAGTGCGGTTCAGGATCAGCTGCGAGATGTGCAGCAGATCCAAGCTTCTGGTGGTGCATTTGCTGCAATCCTGGGTGATGGATCTGTGGTCACCTGGGGTCGTGCCGACGGGGGTGGCGACAGCAGCTCGGTGCAGGATCAGCTGCGAGATGTGCAACAGATCCAAGCTTCTGGTGGTGCATTTGCTGCAATCCTGTTTGATGGATCTGTGGTCACTTGGGGTCA